TTTCAGTCCAGCTTTGTCCAGCCACTGGTAGGATTTCTGGATATCAGCCACCTCCTCTATCTGCCGGTGGTACATACTGTGCAGGGGCCTGTCCTTCCATGATGGTTCCTCGTCTCCCTCCTCGTTCTTGGGTTTCTGCTGCCTGAGGTATTCACTGAGCACTCGGTCAGTTGGGGCCATCTTCCCAATGTATTCTTGGATATATATATATATATATATATATAACCTGAACGCAGGACTTGGCATGGGAACAACACAGACGATCCGACAAAGACTCAATGAGAAGGCACAGACTAAATACACACAGGAGGTTAATGAGAGAAGTGGGAACACATGGGGGACAGCTGACACACATGAACATAACGACGTCACAGTGGAAGAGTAAAACTAAACACGATGAACACAGGAACACCAGACCTCTTCAAAATAAAACAGGAAACCTAAGACGCAGACATGAAACACATGAAGGGCAAAGGAGACTTAACATGGATGGAAGACACAAGGGGAATCTCATAACAAAGCACTATAACAACGTAGGCATGATAAAAATGAAGTTAGAAAACCTGAAGGGCTTAAACACAAACTAAAACTCAAAACGCTGGGTCAGAAGACCCAGGATCGTGACACTTTTCTTCTGTCCTCGGTCCAGAGGATACACTGAACAACGTCTTGCTAGTTTCCCTTAGCACTACAACGTTGCCAGTCATCTGGTAACTTTTCCTTACCCCCCAGTGCCTGTCTCAACGTCTTCCTGAACTCTGTCAAACAGTCTACTTCCACCACTGCTTTCACCCGAAGCTGGCTGGCTACGTTCTCCCCTGCTGCTAGCTTGCAGTCTCCCCTCTCTTTCAAATTGCACCTCGTGTATATGATGTAGTCCATCTGTGCACCTTCCTCTCTTCCTCTTCTTTCCATGCTAAAATCTACTATTATGTGTCCTTCTGTATTTCTGTCTTTAGCAGCATACTTGCCTAACATCACCTGTTCCCTTCAGCTACATGTCCACTGAAATCTGCTCAAATTACGTTTCCCTCTTCCTCGGGGGACACACTCTACCCTTTATCTCTGCCAGCCGACAGCTGTGGGGTATAAATCATCCAATTTCCAGCTTCAAACACAACTCGTGATGTTGTCCGACACTCTCTTTACCGTCACAACATTAGTCAAGATCAGCCGTACACTATTTGTCTTTGTGTCTATGTCATGGTAGAAAAACCTGAACCCACCTCCAGTGCCCATGTTCTCCTGTAGACACATATATCTACCTTCCTTCTTTCCTTCTAATCAGCCAGTCATAGTCCCTATGGTCCCTAATCTCACCTCCTCACTCCTTCCTCTCCTTCTGTCTTGTTGCCACCGAACACACCTTCCTCCTTTCCTCTTCCTTTGTCTTCGGCCAACAGTAGCACAGTTTCCACCAGCATCCTGTTAGCCGACAACACTGGAGGTGGTCGTTGTTTTTTTTTTTTTTTTTTTTTTTTTTTTTTTTTTTTTTTTGGCCTGTCCCGTTTGGCTCTTTTGCCATCAGAATTGTTGTCTAAAGGCAAAGAAAGATACCCAACGGATTTTACTTTACCAAACTGACCATCCCAGCCTTGCCGTAATGGTCCATTTGATTCACCTTTTATTGTTTATTTTATTTTCACTTACTGAATACGGGACAGACTTGACTGGGGGAAAGAAGGGGAGAAAGAAAGAGGGAAAGAGAAACAGCTGAGAAGAGGGACGGGGGAGAAGGGCAAAAGACAAAAACCAACAAAACGGGCAGAGGAAAAAAAAATGCATATATCAATCACCTGGATCACCTGCTGAGAAAGAAAAAAGAAAGCAAGCAGAAGAGAACAAGAGTAATAGAATAAACAACATCACAATGATATATGGAATATGACAGTAAATACTAAATATTAAACATTATTGTGCAGCACATAAGATCAACAGAACACAGTGTGCTTTGAGGTAGGAGCCAAAAAGGGTGTAGTTTGTGGGTGTGATCACCCGTGTGTACACTTGTGGGCATGGACGCGCTTGTTTTTTGTTTTGTTTTTTTAAAAGGTTCCTTCATGTAATAATCTGCTAGAGGGTGTGGGGGGGCCACAGCCCCGTCCTCCAGGGCATGAGGCAGGTGTGGAGGAGATCAAAACTCCAGACATCCAGAGGCCCCCAGAGGTGGTCGTTGTTAACCCAGGCCCCGAACGATCCGGTATGGAAAGCTCATTCTTTGTGATCCGCATGTTTGATTTGGCCAAAATTTCCATCGGATCCCCTTCCTAATAAAACCCTCCTCATTTACCTGGACCGGCACTAGGAATGCACTGGCCTGTGACCCCGTGTGGCTGGGTACTCAGCGTCACATATTGACTTTGAGATGTTTTTCCTGTTCAAAACAATAGTAGAAGGTCCATTAGATAACAACTGACATGGCAGCAAAGATGCAGTAATCAGTCTAAGCTCTGACTGAGCTTCAGTGTCTTAGAGTAACGCTGTATGCTGCTCAGGTGTGACACTCGGGACTGTGTGTTATAGCTGGGAACCATCACACTTGGGTAATTTTCCTCAAGTACTTACTGATTAGGTAAACTACCCAATACGTGTCTGTGAAGGTTCTCAGTCATCCAGGTCATCGTAGTTTGAGGAGCTTGGAAACAAAAGCGTCTGGACTTCTTTGAGTTACTTGAAGACGTTTCACCTCTCATCTGAGAAGCTTCTTCAGTTCTAGGGTCAAATGGTGGAGAGTCCCAGATTTAAACCCAGTAGGAGTTTCCCCCCACAGAGGGACGAAGGACCCCTGATGATCCTCTACCTAATCACATGAGCCGAGGTGTGAAACCTGGCCCCACCCTATCATGTGATTTCCTGAGGTCAGATGGTCCAGGATGTGAGTGGGCGTTAAGGCGTCTGGGAAGGGATCTCAACACTGGATTATAGATGGCAGACAGTTGGTGTCGTAAACCACCGCCTCTGTTCAAAGATGGTCGCTCCACTGACCTCAGGAAATCACATGATGGGGTGGGGCCACGTTTCACAATGAGCTCACCCGAACCCTGGCTGATTGGGACCCACACCCGCTTTCACACCTTGGCTCATGTGATTAGAGGATCATCAGGGGTCCTTTGTCCCTCTGTGGGGGGAAACTCCCACTGGGTTTAAATCTGGGACTCTCCACCATCTGACCCTCGAACTGAAGAAGCTTCTCGGAGGTGAAACGTCTTCAAGCAACTCAAAGAAGTCCAGACGTTTTTGTTTCCAAGCTCCTTAGACTACCCAATACGTGCGCTTACTGGTAAGGTTCAGTTACACTAAACAGATTATAATTTATTGACACTTACTGTGGTCCATGTAAGCCAAACCCATCAAGTAGTTGTTGTTATTGTGCTATATAGTTACATTAATCCCTAACATAATGATGATCCAACATATGACTAACCACTCTGTGTTGATATAAATAATATTGTAATGTAGCACAGTATACCCGCTCAAAGTCGCGGTTCAGAGTTGGTGGATTTTTCCTTATCATTAAATTCTCACAGTTTGGCAGAAACTGCAAATATCTGTCATAATTTTTATGGCTTTTTTGTAGCAATATATAACTTTTCAGGCATTTTAATGCTTAATTAATAAGAGCAAAGAAATTCTTAAATAATTAAATAAATTATAAATTTAAAATATAAATAATTGTAAGTTTTTATTTATTTAAAATTCATAAAATAAGCACGAACGTAATTTCAGCATCCATCCATCCATCCATCTTCTTCCACTTTATCCGGGGCCGGGTCGTGGGGGCAGCAGAGAAGCCCAGACCTCCTCCTCCCCTCCTCCAGCTTATCTGGGGGAACACCGAGGCGTTCCCAGGCCAGCCGAGAGATATAATCTCTCCAGCGTGTCCTGGGTCTGCCCCGGGGCCTCTCCTGTAAATTCAGCAAAATTTCCATATTAAAATTAGTACTATACACATTTTTAGGACTGTAGAGCGATCACAAAGGAACCGTAGAGGAAAATGAGGAAACGCTCCTGTAGTCTGAGGCGGGTTGTTTCATTCATCTCTCCTTATTGCATCTTTGGCAGGTGGAGTCCAGCATTCCCACATTGGAAAAGTTTATCTTGAGTATTTTGTTGCGTGTTCTTGTGTTTTGATGGCACCCAAATGCATATTCAGGGTTTAAACGATAAAAACTGGCATTTATAGACATTTTTTGACCACATCCAAAATTTGTGTTTTTTCACTATTCGTGAGTGCTCGGCGAATGAGACCCTCACAGATTCTGTGGATCAACAGTATTACATGTACATGCAGTATTCGTTTGCAATTGAAGGGTCAGGTTTTCCAGTCACAGTTTTAGATGTTGAAGAAATGAGCATCTATAAATATGCTGGACCTGAAGATCTAAGCAGCAGGCTTGTGGGGTTCTCCCAAGTTGAAGTGATGGGTAGCTGCTGATGGTGGTCTGAGGAGGTACAAATGACAAACTGATGACAGGATGTGATCTGCAGCAGTTCCAAGTCTTCAGGACTTCTGGACTTAAGCTTCTGCCAGTGTCTTGGTGCCAAATAGCACAGCTCGCCTTTAGAGATCTTCCAGATTAGTGGGTGGGGGCTCATCTCTGTCTCATCTCTGATCTGAGTGCTCAAATGTTCTGTGTGATCATGAAAGAAAAAACATTGTGTAGTGCCACCTCCTTAAAAAAAGACACATCAATGCTCGAATCTGTATTATTCTGTATTTGTTCATTGCGATGCTTCATTAAGGCTCTGCTCTAAATAAAGGATACTTTTAAGTAATTAAAGAAACTCCACTGAGCACATACTCCCTGCAGTTTTGCATCATTAGAGGGTTTTTTTGACAAAAATATGAAACTTCTGAGAAATTGTGGACTCGAAAAGGTTGACAGAAGGCGAGAGGAGCTGTCTCACTCACACAGGGATTGTTACAATAAATGTCTTTCCTTATTTTGATGAATTCCACTTCCTGTTTTTTCTGTCACAGAACGGACAAGTTGAAAGGGGACCAGCGGAGACCGCAAGAGCTGAACAACCTGCTGAACCACAGAGTCCTCACACGGCCCGAGATCCAGAACAACGAACGCAATCGAGAACCTGCGTGTCAACATTCCCTGTCGCAGGTCGACGACAAATGGCAAAAAGATGTTGTGAAACACAATGACCAGAGGGAGCAGGAGTATTACACCTTACAGCGGGAGGGAGAAAGGTACTCTCTGAAGAAAGAGGGCGTGAGCTACATGCTGCAGAAGGATGGAGATAGGTATCTCCTGCACAAGGATGGAGAAAAGTACCTCCTGAGAAAGGATGGGGAGAAATACTCGCTGCAGAAAGATGAAAAAGTGTACACCATTCACAGAGATCTGGAGAAGTGCGGCGTCCGTAAAACGGATGATAAACACGCGGTGACGCCGGCTGAGGAAAAGTACGCACCCTCCAAAGATGGGGAGAAGTATCTGCTCGCAAAAGACGGAGAAAAGTACGCGCTGCAGAAAGTAGGCGACCGACACACGCTCCAGAAAGATGGAAAAAAGTGCCTCTCTCAAAAGGAGGTCAAGAGACAGCTGTCATTAAAGGAAACTGAAAGGTTCAGCACTATGAGGGAGAAGGATAATAAATATGGCACTATACAAGTTATGGACAAATACAGCACTATGAAAGAAATTAAGAGATACAGCTCGTTTCGAGAGGGGGATAAATACGCGACTCTGAGGGACGCAGAGAAATGTGCTACGGTTTGTGATAAATACGGCTTTCAGAGAGATCCGAGCACCGACAGGGCTCTGACTAAAATCAACAGCATCAAGCTACAACCAGCCCAGGCTGCTGCCATCGCAGCTGCGGTGTCTGCGTCTCGCCAGAACCAGGCCAACATCAGCGCCCAGAAACCTGCACAGGTCAGTGGCTCAGGGTGTGGGACAGGCGAGCAGCAAAGGGACTGCAGCCCCACAGAGGTGGATGGCAACCTGGCCAGGGTTCCCGTAAAGTCTCCAGCTCCAGTCCAGGAGCCAGAAAAGGGTTTGTCCAGGACCAACTCCATGCAGCTGCTGGAGCACTGGGTCCATCCGCAAAGGAGAGGACTGGACGATAACCCAAAGAGGTGAGCAAAGCAACTTTTCATTCAGTACATTTAAAACTTTAACAAAGAGGGAGGAAAACATTCAAAATACACCGTTACATAACTAACATAAGTATAGGCATTGAACCAAACCTCAACATAGAGATTAGCTTCACACGGGATGTGGATGCAGCTCACTTTCTAGCTACTTATTTTAGAAGCTAATCTTTGTACTTTCCAGGTGTAACACGCTTCACTGCTGAATATACTTTTCTATTTTTCCATTTTGTGGGCTCCAAAGGACTAAATGATTGTGTCAAACTGGGAGTGTTATTTCTAGATCGTAAAGATCAAAGCTCTTAGTGTTTGTCATGCGGTGAATGGCCAGTGACTTTTTCCCACCATCAAGTGCGGGATCTACCAAGATGCTCTGTCCCCACTGCTGCTCTGCATAGGCCTGAACCCCCTCAGTGAGATCACTGACAAGACTGGCTACGGATACCGACTACGGAAAGCAGCAATCTTGAGCCACCTCCTGTACACGGATGACATCGAGCTGTATGCCAAGAGTGAACGAGACATCGATTCACCGATCCACACCACCAGGATATACAGCAATGACATCGGGATGTCGTTCGGACTGGAGAAGTGTAGTCGGATGGTAACAAAGAGAGGGAAGGTAGTCAGAACTGAGGGGATTGAATCTACTTAGCACTTTTAATTCTTATTCTTATTTTTATTTTTATATCTATTTAAGCGTTTATGACAGCATGTTTGCACTAAGCACCGCAGCAATTTCCTAATGTTGTAAACCTGCTCAACATTTGGCAATAAAACCCTTTCTGATTCTGAACTACCAGAAGGCAACATTGCAGACATAGAGTACTTGGGGATCCCACAGACAAATGGGAACCATGAAGAGGCCGCTAGGAAAGCTGCAACCATCTATCAACACCTACACCCTGCCTGTGATCAGGTACCCTGCTGGGATAGTAAGTTGGCCAAAGGAGGAGATAGAAGCCACTGACATGAAGACAAGAAAGCTCCTGACGATGCATGGAGGGTTTCAGGGGTCTATCACAGCAGGCAAGACCCCAGGTGCAGGCTGTGTAAAGATGCCCCAGAGACAACCCAGCACATAACAGCAGGGTGCAAGATGCTAGCAGGCAAGGCATACATGGAACGCCACAACCAAGTGGCCGGCATAGTGTACAGGAACATCTGTGCCGAGTATAACCTGGAAGTCCCGAGGTCAAAATGGGAGACGCCCCCAAGGGTGGTGGAGAATGACCGAGCTAAGATCCTGTGGGACTTCCAGATACAGACGGACAAAATGGTGGTGGCTAACCAACCGGACATAGTGGTGGTAGACAAACAGAAGAAGACGGCCGTAGTGATCGATGTAGCGGTTCCCAATGACAGCAATATCAGGAAGAAGGAACACGAGAAGCTGGAGAAATACCAAGGGCTCAGAGAAGAGCTCGAGAGGATGTGGAGGGTGAAGGTGACGGTGGTCCCCGTGGTAATCGGAGCACTAGGTGCGGTGACTCCCAAGCTAGGCGATGGAGAGAGACGCAGATATAGAGATGGTTCCCTGATTGTAAGTTTTTGCTTGCTTTTTTTTTTTTTTTTAGCCTGTCTTTTCTGGCAGCTTTTGCAATCAGAATTGTAATCAGTAATTTTCCAAGATGAGCTCTACAAATTCACTACAGGCTCCTGTTGTTCACGTGTTATTTTTATCTGTTTATGTATTCATTTCTATCAGTCTTATTTATATTATTACAGTTATGTCTAAGCTGACAGGCGGGAGGTAAAAAAGGAGAAAATACAATATCAGGATAGAGCATGAATACAAAAGCAGTTGATCGCCAACTGCTGGACTTGTAATGGTGACATTATGTTTAGTTTAACTGTTTAATGTTTTGTTGTACAGAAGCGCTTTCTTCCTTTCTACCATGTCATAGTGCTGGGATGGATTCAGGATCAAATTGATCTGTTGTGCATGTGTTCAGTTTGGAGGTTTTCCTAAATGGATTTATCGAGTTAAGGACTGAACAGTGTTTAGATAACCTTCTGTGCGCTCACATATTGTGCTGACATATTCTTCCATCCTGACCTTCTTCAGCGTTTCCCTTAGTTGTTTTTAAGGACCATACAGTTGTTTGTAAATTCGAATTAGGAGGAGGCCATTTACCTGGAAAGGGAAAGACCATCTCTGAATGGAGGAGGGGCCTAAGGGTCCATCTGTCACCACCTTACAATGCTGTGATTGCAGCCATTCCCCAACTCTTTGTGAATGGGACTCATGGTTATTGATCAGTGGTTGCTGATCAATGGTCATGCATATTAATGATCATAAACTGACCTCCCAGCCCATTGTTCTTCAGTGCTGCTGGTTTCAGTCATTGTGCAAATGTCCTGGTTATAAGGTTGGAAACCTGCCGTCAGCTGGACTGAAGACGTCACCTGATGATGAAGAAACGTTTCTCAGGGCTGGACTGGCCATCGAGCATGCCGGGCATTTGCTCAGTGGGCTGCTCGTCATTTTTCGTTTTTATGGGCCGATGGGGTTTTATTTCTTTTCTTTTTAACGGTATAAATGAAAGGTGGTGGATTGGCCAGTTGGTCATGATCGACTCTGGGCTGGACCAATTACAGCCGAGGAGGTCGAACTTTAAAGTTGAGGTGAAAAGGAACGCGATTTGTGCCGTACTACTTCAGCTAGAAAGTTGCTAATTCAATCATGAAACTGATCAATGATCAGCTGATCGGCTTTTCTCTGCGCCAGAAACAGGAAACCAGCGGAGAAACAACAGCAGCACGTTTAAGCTTGATCAGCTGTTTTTAGGATTTATTTAATATTAATCTCTAGTATCAGCTGATGTTTGCTGGAGCCACAGCTGTAAAGCTGCTGGTCATGATGTCGGTTTGGTTATCTGGTGAGAGGGAAACATGAAGATGAAACCAGGAGATGTCCTTACTGGATCATCAGAGCTGAACAGGTGATGGAGAAACAGGTTTACCTTTTAGGTGACAGGAATGAGTTGAAGTTATGAACTGTTTCTGAGAGACAAATAACACCAGGATCCTTTTCTAAGCAGCTGACAGCTGGTAACTATGCAAGTTTTGCCAGGGGGGCATGTAGGGCATTAACAGGGAGAGGGGGGCACAAGGAAATACTTTCTTATTCTCATTTAAAATGTCTCACTTTTAACAAATAATTATCTGAGTCTTACAACCAAAGTTTTCATCTGATTAAAATGTGTAGAAATCCATTATTGTATTCAGTAAATATTAAGCCTAGTATATATCCTAGTAAGTTATAGTATTCTTTCCTTTGGGAAGGTATCATCTGTGCAGTCTGTAATTCTGCTGAAGAAAGATGTTGAATCTATTTAATTACTGGAGAAAAATAATAGATTTCTGTGCATTTGCTTTATAAGTGCATTAAATTAAAAACGTTTTGTCAATTAAGCATCTTGAGGCCGAGGGTGGGGGAGTGGTTCCCTACTTTTTTCTTTTCTGTTTTTTGCTGGGAGTTGGCAACCCTATTAGTGAGGTATATGTAATTATAAATTAGGTTGTTTTATATTTTTTCTAAGTACTGTTTAGAATAGCAGAATAGGGAGGATGGTGTAGGTTTACGTTTATTATAAAGGCTTTATGGCTTTTCCTATAATACCATGGTGGGCCGGTCACTAGTCAAAATGCTGATTTTTTTTGTCCCAGTCCAGCCCTGATGTTTCTCCCACTGAAAACGTCCAGATGAACAGATGTTACTGTACATCCAGCACTTTAGTAACAGGTGTCACGAAGTTGACATTTCAGACATGTCAGAAGCTCTGACTTCTTTTGCCGTCTCTCCAAACACTGAATCCAGATACCGAGTGAAGGCCAGCACTCCAGCCTTCCCTGCAGTAGGGACAAACTAAAAGAGCTATATGCATTTTTTTCTTATTTTCCAGTGTTACATCGTACCAGACTTTACCGAGAAACATGCCCAGCCACCGTACCCAGATTGTACCCCGCTACCCTCAGGGGTACCGCACGCTGCCCCGCAACAGCATGATGAGGCCCGAAAGCATTTGCAGTGTGGCAGGCTCGGTATATGACCGGGCCCTCCATCCAGCCTGCACGTCTGCTGTTAGCACAACAGAGAAGAGAAAATCAATGAGGGATGACACAATGTGGCAGCTCTATGAGTGGCAGCAGAGGCAGGCCTTCTCCAGGCAAAGTCTGGCTCAGCCAGCAGGTACACTTTTACAAATAACATCGATTTCTTTTCTGAAGTTGTATAAATGGTACTTATGCCTTTTCTATATTAGTACCCTATGTTTCTTTTTCTTGTTGTTCCCATAAGACTTGTTAGAAAGAACACATGACACAGATGGGCTGCAGCAGACCATGACAGACAGTAACCATCTGTCAGAGAGGATGTGGCTGTGAGGTTGTGAGATGCCTTATTGACAAGTCCATGTTGTCTAAAACAGTATTTCTTTTTTTTAACAAAATGTATGTCATTTAATCAGATCAGCATTTTTTTTGCTAAGAAACATGAGTGGCCATAAAAACCTTTAAAGAGGAACCTCTTGGATGATGTGATGCCTTACGTCCTGTCGGGCAGTTTCAATCATGGCCTGAATGATTGGTTGTGCCAAACACGTTTGCTTTTCCAAGAGGAGCTCTGTAGACTCCCTGCATCCTGTCTGCCCTGGATAAGCTGCTCCAGTTGTATAAGCGTTAAATGTTCTGGTAAGCCAACAGTGACACGTTCTCCTGTGTTGTTGTTTGTGCTTCCAGGTGTGGGTCATTACGGCACGCTGCCCAGCATTAAAACCATGGGCAACATCTCCCAACATGCCGTGGCGCACTCCATTCCCACTTCCCCATCTCATGGCTCTCTGGCTCTGTACAGCACATTCTCCCCTTCTCGTCAGCAGGTTGCTCAAAATCATAGTAGCTCCCACTCTGAGGTTTCTTCGCCCATATTGAGGGGGGACGTGACTCTTGATCGCCGGCACAGGACACACCTTGCGAAGGTAACGGTCATGGCACAGGAATTCCATTTAAATATTAAGCTTTCATCATGCAGGACGTTCAATACAAAACAAAGGTATACCAAAATCCAATGCTCTGGGGTGTGGCTGCTAAACTGTAGCAGAGGCTACTTGGTTTAAACAGTAATAAGTACATGAAGAGTGAAGCTGTTTTGCTCGGTCCATTCTTGGCATTAACGTGGACTGGCTTTAGGGTGTTCCTGAGGAGATGGTAGGTATAAGCAGCACTACAGGAGCATTAACAAACCATATGACCGGTATGACTCGGACAGAGAGATACATAAACAGGGCTGTGAAAGCTAAAAGGCAGGAGGAAAAAAATCAGAAAGAAAAAGGAAAGCGGGAGAAAATGCATGTGTGTTTGTCACGAAATGTGCTTGATAGAGAGGGTGAGAAGCTCCAGCTCTTCTGGGGAAATAACAAGACATTCCCAAGCCAGCCAAGAGATGTAATTTTTGTAGCATGTCATGGGTGTGTCCCAGAGCTTCCTCCCAGTGGGATATGCCTGGAAAACCTCACGTAGGAGGCCCTCAGGAGTCATCCTTGTCATATGCCTGAACCACTTCAGCTGGCTTCTTCTGATATGGAGGAATATAAAGATGTTTTGATTTCAGAAATATACAAGAGAAAAGAGGAGCGACCAAAACCTTTGGAAAAACTGAAAAGCTCACGTCTGACGTTTGTCAACATCTACAGTATACAGGGGTTTCATATAGCTGAGCAAATATCTAATAGCTATATGTGACAGAGAGTAGGAACACTGCCTGAAGTGAATGTGATGAACTCTGTCCTCTTCTAGTACGGATACACAGCTGATCGACGATCCATTGCAGTTGGCATCCCATCTCAGACTATCACTCCACAGTCTCTGCAGGGCAAGACGGTAAGCAGCACCATGACATTCACCGTGTGCTCCGCCTCCACTGTTAAAGAAGAGTGACATCTGTGTTTTGGTTTGATCAGCTATAAAATGTTGATGGTTAAACATTTTGCACTGGTTTCTACACAGTGGTGTTGTTTTATTTTAATGGGTGCCAGTCACATCGAGTCTTTGTACATCACACCATAAATAGCAACCAAATGAAGAGCTCACTGGCGAGTAAGCCTCCGGTAAAGTCATTAGGTCAACGAGAGCCACATTTCCAGGAACTTCATTTTTTAATGTCCAGCAGAACGTGTGTGTGTGTGTGTGTGTGTGTGTGCGTGTGTGAGTGAGTGAGTGTGTGTGTGCGTGTGTGCGTGTGAGTGAGTGTGTGTGTGTGTGTGTGTGTGTGAGTGAGTG